CCCACCTTGTCTCACTGTGTTATAATAGAAAAGATTCAAAAATAACCAGGAGTTTTGGAAGGGGTGTAATAAATAGAGCGGGTCAGAAAATGAATTTTGCATCCTGTGGGGGGAAAATGAGATTTCCATTTTATTTTTTAATCTCAAATCAGGATGAAAACCCAACATTTTGACATTTTTGGCAAAGCATGAAAAGATTTATGTTGGGTCCACCAAAATGTTTCCATTTTGATAAATGTGGAATGGTTCATTTTGATTTCAACCCCTTTTAATGTTTATTTCTCTATATAAAATAAGTTTTGAAATGAAAAGTCAGTCCAAAATTTAAAAAAATCAAAACTCTTCATTCTGGACATGTCCATATGTCCCATTTTGACATTTTTAAACTCAGGGTTTTTTTCATTTTTTCTCCTTAAACAATCAATACAATTTCACAAAAAATTCACTTTAGTCAGAAGGAAACTTTCCAATAACAAACTGTTTTAGATGAAGATTTTTTGACCTGCTCTAATAACAAGTCCATCTCCTCCAGGGCATCAGCCAACCTCTAACTGGCTGGAAAGAAACTACCCCATCTTTTCATGTGCTGTATATTTATACCTGCCTACTGTATTTCCACTCCATGCATCTGATGAAGTGGGTTTTAACCCACGAAAGCTTATGCCCAAATAAATTTGTCAGTCTCTAAGGTGCCACAAGGACCCCTTGTTGTTTTTACCCCACTAGGCTATGTTATCCTATCACTTCCTTGGACACAGACGCTGGTCAGAGATAGGATACGGGACTAGAGAGGTCCCATGTCTGATCAAGCCTAGAAGTTCCTTGCTTTCAACAGCGTGCCCTACTTGCGTCTTGAATCAAAACCACTCAAATGCAAGTCAAAGGATTTTTCTTTTTCAACTACAAAGACCTTTTTGATCCTGTTTCCTGTCTGGCCACACACCGAAGTGGCTCAGTCTCAGAGATGGTTCACGAACCCATTGCCTTTCTTCTCGCTAACACGTGCTGCCCTTAGTTGGGTCCCACTTGCTCCTTATTTGCAGTCCTGACCCTGCCTAATTGGCCTCCTCCCCTTTAATTAATGGGGATTTTAAAGGGCTGGGGGATGGGGAAATAAACAAACACATTGCACAAAAATCTTTCAAGCCAAAGAGAAAACAAATCATTGGAAGGCAAGGACGTTTGTTTAATCATCTAGGTTCTGGGAGGCTGCCTCTGCTAAGCAGAGCCAGTGGAAGGATGGGGGCAAGCAGAGAAGCCTGTAGTCTATTAAACTTCCTTTGAGAGCCTGCCAGACTGACAACAGCTGGAAGAAATTAACATTTCAGGTCTGTCAGCCGGTTCGCTGGGTCTTTTTCCCCCCAGAAAACAAACAGCTTGATGACTGTGGTCTCGGCAGCTTCACCTTCTCACTCTCTGAGGTCCCTCGCTGCAGACAATAGCTGGCTTCATCAGATTTGGAAAAAAAAAAAAAAAAACCTGCAAAGAGAATAGAGTGGATCACACTCTAAAGCAGGGCTACCACTGGGAGTGAGGGTAGAAATGCCACCTTCTTCTGCAGCATCTTCTGTGTGACATTTACTGGACCACAGATGTGCATTGGTTCCCTTTAGGCCTGTCGATTTGGTACCTCTAGGGAGCACTCTGCCTTACGCCACACAGCACCATGCTGAACAAAGAGCACTGCCGGTTAAAAATCTGACCTCCGATCATTAGCGGGATGTGTCCCCCCTACACATGTGCCCTGAAAGGGTTAATGGAGGCCAGAGGAGCCAATTAACCTATTAGGCTGAAGGCGGAGAAGAAAGCCCTAATTAGGGGAAGTTCACCTGTGCGGGAACAGATGGGACTTCTATAAAGCCAGGGAGCTGAGAGCAGGCAGGGGGCTCTAGGGAGTCTCCGCAGTCACTCCCTGGGAGAAGGGAGGTGTGTTTGGGGGCTGTAGCCCATGGTCACTCCCTGGGAGAAGGGAATAGAGAGGCTGGCAAACCCCAGGAGTGCTGGGGTAGGAAGTAGTCCAGGGAATAAGCAGCAAGGTTGGGGACTGAACAGACCTTGGCTGCGTGTTGTAAGGTCCCTGGGCTGGAACCTGGAGGAGAGGGCAGGCCTGGGTTCCCCGACCCACCACTGGGGAAGCGGCACCAGCGGGGCAGTAAACTGGAAGACTTCCTGGGTCTCTGTGGGAATGCCACACATTTGGAAGGACTGTGCCCCTGAAGGGGGGACGCTGAGCAATCTGGCCAGAGGGCCGAGTTACGGAAAGGACGCTGCGGTTCCTAGAGTGAGAGTAGGGCTGCAGACCAGAGAGAGACGGAGTGACGGCGTGCGACGGCGGGAAGAGGCGTTGACCTCACGAGCTAATCCCTGGAGCGACCAGGAGGAGGCGCCAGCCAAGCAGTGAGTGAAGCTCCCTGCCACAAGGGGGCTAAAGCATTCAGTTACCAGTGTGCCTAGAGGCCGCTGTGTGTGAGTAGTGGGGAGAGCCTTGCAGCGTATGCAACACCCTTGAAAACGTTCATCCTCTCTCGGTCATTGCTAGGTGAGCGTCCTGCCTTCAGGATCGCTCATTGGCCGATGGCGGCTGGTTCTTATGACGTCATGCTTCTCTTTCGTGTTTGATTGGCAGAGTATGCTGCCACTTAATATCCTGCTGGGGGAGTTATTTGAAAACTGGTCCGAGCTGGAACGGCCTCTCACCTGCTGATATAGCTGAATTAAGCTGCCTTATGATGCTCGTTGTTTTATGTAACAATCCTCCCGAGACTGCTTAGACTCTTGATCACGCTCCATATGCAGCAGCCCTTTGGCTCGCCATTGTTTCGTGTGGGGGTGGGGTCTCAGTCAGCTTGGCATTGTGTTGGCCTCTAAAGAATACTGAGAAAATTATCTCGTGGGGTCAGAAGCTGTCTGAACTCTACTACATTTGAAGCGTGTAGAACTGGCAAACTCCAGCTGATTTCTGTGCCAAACTACAATCCACCTGACTTCTTCAGCCAGCCTGTGTATGCTGGGGCCTGAGCATAGACCATATATCTCCAGGTTCTGCATTGCTACCAAGTTGGAGAAGAAAAATACATCACGGTTTGAGTTTACCCTCCACTGCGTATGGTGAGTAAAGGGACCAAAGACCACGTGGAAGGCAGCTCAGAATATTCTATTCTGTGCAGTTTTTTATACGATGCTCCTCACAGATCTGAGCTTCTGACTGGGATCTGATCAAGATCTACCAGCCCAGAAGTGTTGAGCACTGGGTTCCAAGGTGCTGTGTCACACAGGAGAGCTCACATTTGCTCCAGCATTGCCAGAGAGCAGCACAATCCCCACAGATGTTTGCTTGAGTCTTGGAAGAGCCCGGAGAAATCAGGGCAGACAAAGAAGAGCAGTACTACCTTGAGTCCTCAGTTAGTCTTCCACCACCAGCAAGCCCATTCTCCTTGTACATTGCTCTCTGGTGATTGATCCAGTGATGCCAAGGAAGAGAATTTCCCATTCACTACAGTAGACATAGGCTAGCCCCTTAAATCTCCTTCTGTTCTCTATAGATCCCCTTCTGACCTAAGCTTGTGTCCCCCCCCCATCCCAGTCTGTCCATTGCTGGTTTATACAGCTCCAGATTCCTCTCCAAAGTGTCCTTAATCAATGAGAATTATAGAAACCTTGTTCCACCTTTCGTCTCCAAATCATTTGATCATGGTTCTGAAATGTAACAAACCAACCAAAAAAAGACTCCATTCAATAATGGCAAAAGACAGACGGAGATGGCAATCTAACTGCTTTGAAAAAACTAGGCCCAGATCCACAACTGGTGGAACTCAGCGTAGTTCCATTGAAGTTGATCGAGCCACACCAGCTGAGGAGATCATCTGTGGCATGGATTGCTCTAAGGAGGTGCCTACCAGCTTAGTGGGATCTGGGCAAGTCTTTCTTCTTCAGCCTTGCTCAGTTGCAGTTTGCTGATATGTAAGTTGGCCTCGGTAGAGTGTCGTACTTGCAGGGGTTCCCCACTTTGTAGGTACTCATCCCTGAAAAGCCAGGTGAGGTCTGCTCACACCTCCGAGAGAGCTGTAACCATCCCCTGGATGTTGACTTCATTTAACACCATTCTTCTTCCCAACCCCAGTAACTAAGCCTTGACTGAAGGCCAACTGTAGGGCTACGAGTGAACATGCAGGCCCTGCTTTCATACAGACATGCCAGGCCTGATGAGACAATAGATCAACACAGTGCTGGTGTCGTCCCTTCTGGCTCGGCTTTCTGATCTGGATTGGATGCTTAGGTGCCCTTCTCAAAAGATCCAGGGCCTGATCCTGATCTCAGCTACACCAGTGCAAACGCAGTTCACGTATACAGGTGTATCACTGACATCTCACTCCCGAGATTTTGTCCTGTGTATTGTCTCTCACTAAAAAGAGGTTGTCGTTGGAATGAGATCTGTGCTTTTGGTTGCCCTTGGAGCAGGAGTTCAGATGAATTTTTTCCAGCATTGGAGAGGTTAGTAAAACAATTGGGAGAAGCAATTGCTACCAAATGAGTTGACGCTTGGCCTAGGTTTTGTGTAGTGGCTGTGTGTGTGGTCTAGGCCTGTTCCACCATCTGCCAGCAGGAGTCACTGTAGGGAATGGCTTAAGTGGACTATTCTGGGTGAAACTCACAAGCTATTCCTGCAACCCAGCCTATCCCATGCATGCGGGAGGGGATGACAATGGTGAGTTGTCTGGAAGCAGGCTCACAGCTCCCCATGTCTTGCCTACCCCAGCAAGAATAGCTGTAGGGAGTGGAATATTATTATTATTCATTATGTGTATTGCAGGAACACCTATGAGCCCAGTCATGGACCAGGACGCCATTGTGTTAGGTGCTGTACAAACACAGAACAAGTAATGGTGCTGAGGCCAGGTCTACTCTAAAAACTTTTGCCAGTGTAGCAATGTGATGTAAGAGTGTAACGTTTTTTTGTAATGAAATTTTTATACTGGCAAAAACAGTAACAAACGCCCAGTTATACCAGCAAATTTCAGTGCTTCTTTCGTTCAGCAAACTGATACAAGCAATACCAGCAAAAACACGTTTTTGACGGTAGACCCTGCATCTGCCGTAGGAGATGGCTTACCCTACTTTGCTGATACTAGAGTAGCAACATTGGCAAACCTTTTTTCTAGAGTAGAGTAGACTAGACTAGTGGCTCTCAACCTTTCCAGATGACTTTCAGGAGTCTGCTTGGTCTTGCGTACTCCCAAGTTTCACCTCACTTCAAAACTACTTGCTTACAAAACCAGCCATAAAAATACAAAAAGGGTCACAGCACAATATTGCTGAGAAATTGCTGATGTTCTCATTCTTACCATATAAATTATAAAATAAATCGACTGGAATATAAATATTGTACTTACATTGCAGTGTATAGTATACAGAGCAGGATAAATAAGTCATTGTCTGAAATGTTAGTTTGTACCGACTTTGCCAGGGCTTTTTCTGCAGCCTGTTGTAAAACTAGGCAAATCTCTGGATGAGTTGATGTCCCCCCTGGAAGAGCTCTGAGTAGCCTCAGCTGTACGCGTGCCCCTGGTTGAGAACCACTGGCCTACACCTTATTCTCCAAGCTCCCGTTGTCCAGATTCTCCCAGCAGGAGTCAGGAAGGGAGCAGCCATGTCGATCTAGCAAAGGCTTTTCCAGAGAGGATGGTCAGGAAAAGGTGCCTCATAAATCCAAACAGTGATTTCCTGCTGTAGGCGAGGGGAGTTGTTTTCTTTAAAAACGCAGCTGAAATCGGAGAGGGGCTGGTGTTAGTTTAAATCTCTCAGAGCTGGGGAGTTTGCTGTATGATCAAGACAGAGCCAGCAGCCAAGGCGTGTACACCCCCCATTTGAAAGCCATTAACAGGAATATTTCTGGAGGAGAATTAGGCACATATTTTTAACCCACATTGAAATGCACTGAATGGGCTTAAGCCTCTTTGGGTTATCGAGTGAAAATATGGCAAAGACTCTGTTTTAAAGCAAGAGGGACAGGGAAAGCTGGCACACGTTTCGCACACATCCATTTTCAGCGTGCACACGTGCCCATCTGTGTACAGCCCCACATGCATTCTCGCACATATGCGCCCAGCCTCATGTGGATTCTCACGCCCGCACACATTTCCACGTGTGCAGCGTCACATGAACGTGACCGTCACAGGGTTATTGTTTCTATTAGAGAAAAACAGAGAGACCCCACTGAGATCAGGGCCCCACTGTGCTAGGCACTGTGTGTACACACACACACACACAGAGGAAGCGATGGCTTCAACCTTGACAAGCTTACAGTCTAGACAAGACAGACCAGAGGTGGGAGGGGAACCAGATTGACACAAGGTCACACAGCAGGTCAATGGCAGAACTGGGAATTGAGCCTGGGGTTGCCTCTTCTACCACACCGTGCTTCCTGCCTGCTCATCATCCCTGGCATTCGCACTCCTACCTGGTCTCACCGGCAGTGCTGCATGTTTTCGAATGTTCTCCCACACAGGCATGCAGTCCCGCACGCTTTCTCTCACTTGGTCTTGTACATTGCCACGCTCACGCGTGCTATCCTGAGTCCTCACGCATGGACACCCAGCACCCTGCTGTCACACACACAGCCCACCATCCCCAGCTGCTTGCTCCCTAACTCACGTTGCCTCATACACATTGTCACACCCATTTATAACCACAGTTGCAGAAGACATGACAGCTATCTATCATGCTGAACTGAGCCCCATCACCATAGCACTGAGCACCTCACTGTATTTATCCTTCCAACCCTCCCCCCATGAGGTAGGGCAGGGCTATTATCTCTGTTTTACAGATGGGGAAACTGAGGTACAGAGAGGTGGAGTGACTTGCTCAAGGTCACACAGGGAATCTCTGGCCAAGCAGGGAACTGGACCCCAGTCTTCCTAGTCCCAAGCTAGCACCCTAACCACTGAGCCAGACGTCCTCTTAAGTTAAAGTCAAAAAAAAAAAATATACAAGGTCTAAAAGGTTACATGCCTTTCATTGGGAAGTGTTCCCGGGCCAGATTTTCAAATGTTCCGCACCCACAGTCGGGGCAGATCTTCCCAAAAGAACTCTGCTCCCATTCAGCCTAAATGAGGCCGGATTTTCAGAGGAGCCCAGAACACTGGCCGTGCATTGGGTGCTGAGCACTTTGAAAATCTGACTGGGAGTGGTGCGCTTTTGAAAAATCTGTTTTCTCTTAAAGGCACAATGGCAGCGGAGGGGGGGAACCAGGCACTGATACAGGAGAGTAATAGTTTGCTTCTAGCTGACCTAACACATTCTCCTTACAGAAGCTGGTTTTTTTGTTTTGTTTTTTTCCCCCTAAATAACTGATTGCTCTTATCTCTTCAGGTAACATTTGTCATCAGCATTTTTTTCGGAGAAGCTGTATTATTTACAAGTCCCCCCGCCCTGATTTTAAACACTACCCGGATGCACACATGATCCTAGTGCAAACACATGGTCTGATTAGCTTCAAATCCCAGGCAGGCCTTGCCTCCGGTGATGGGTGAGTTTCAGTGCTGCAGAAAAATTTAATATGTAGTTTTATAACAGACCCGGTCCTGTGCGTCATGGCCACCCCATTGGGCTGGGGTCAGAGCCTAGTTACCCTGGAGCAGTTCGGCTGATGTCAATTTTACAGTGGTGTGAGGTAGCGTAAAACGGAGCCATACAACGGGATTTGCTTTACCCACCACTCAGCTGCAACCCCTCTGGTTGAAACGCAGCTGTTTATTGGTATGAAGAAGTTTACAAAGGTAAGGAAGGAAGTATTAATAGCCCTGTTTTATAGATGCAGCAACTGGGGCACAGAGAGATCAAGAGTTTGGTTTTTAGAAGTCCTGAGCTCTCTTTGACCTCTGAAAATCAGCCCTTGAAGACCTGCCCAATGTCAGAGAGAGAGTCAGTGGAAGAGCATCCTGGTTTCCTCGCTTCCCATCCGCTGCTTTAGTAGAAGTTGCTGCCTCTTTGTTTAATCGTTCACCACCGAGCAGCTGAAGTAAGTTGTTTTTGGAGGAAGAGTCGGATTCTCTACTGCTCTTGGGTCCCCGCAGAGCAGCAAGGGGGTGGAAGGCATCAGAGCACCAGTTACAGCTGCCTGATTCTCTGGCCAGTTCAGTCCCAGAAATGGGCCTGGTGGAGTTTAGAGGAACCTGGGGGTCGCTCTAAACTCCACCAGTTCCTAACAATCCAGCTCAGAGATGGCTGGTGTACAGTGTACTTTGGCCACTGCCCTGCAACGTCCCCCTTCCCCGCATATCCCCTGCATCAGTTTCAGGAAGAGGAGGTGATGTAAGAGGCTGCTGAGAATGCCCATGTGCGGGGAGAATTTTCTGGGCCCTCCCCCCGTTTTAGCCCCTGGAGCGCAAGCTCTGTATGCACTGTTAACTTTTTTGTGTGTGTGCCCTTGAGCATTATGGGGAGAATGTTTTCCTCCCCCTGTGAATTGATGGTTGTGAATTGCTTCACGCTGATTGCAGCGTATCTCAAAACACTCACTGACAGTGGGACTGTTTGAGCGAGAGAGATTTCAAGTGCCTCACTGAACCGCACTGCTGACTCCACCCTGCTTTATAAAGAGCCCCTCAAAGTGAACTGGAGAGTAAATGCAGAGTGGAAGGAGCCTGAGGAGTGTGTATTCAGCTGTCTTTGAGGTTTGGATAGGTGCAGTCATTAGCTGGAGCTGTATCTTGCTTATTCAAGGCAGCAAGCCAACTCCTGCCCTCAATTACACCCGTGCAACCACACTGACTTAAATGGGCTTGTATGGGTATAACTAAGGGCAGAATTTGTCCTACTGTGATATTTATACCTGGAGCCAGCTTGGTTGGGAGGTTCTTTTAATAATGTTTTCATTTGACTTGTGGGTCTGCTTTTTGATACTGCAGTGAACTAGCTTTTGTGTGTGTGTCTATTTTGGAGTGAGAGAGAGAAAGAGGGATCACTGCCCACTACTGGATGGAATAAGAACTGCTCAACTGTGTGTCAGAGGCCCCAGGCTGTTAATGGAGATTGTCCATTGGCTTAAATGCTAGTGATAATAGTAACAATTAATATCTAGCTCTTATCTAGCACTTTGCCACAGCAGATCTCAAAGTGCTTTACAAAGAAGGTCAGTGTCATTATTAATTACTATTATTATTTATTAGTAGAGGCTGTGTTTTCCTTGTGCGGCAGGAAGACCAGAGTTCTACCCCAGAGTTCTGCATGGTCCTGGTGAGTCCCAATGTGCTGTGGCATCCTCTCTTCTCCCTGTTTAAGTGCCTTTAGTGTCATTTTTTGCTCTTCACCCCAGGCAGTGCTTGACATTATCTTGATACTGCAGTTTTTGGTCTGAGAATATCTGGCTTCCAGTTGCCAGGCACCGCATTTATTCATTTTGCTGTTTGTTTGTTTCTTCTCATGACAGAGTGGGATTGAAAAATGTTTCACCCTAGGGGTGGATGCATAGATTCCAAGGCCAGAAGGGACCCTTGTGATCATCTAGTCTGAGCTCCTGTGCTGCCCAAGCTAGAGAACTGCCCCAGAATAATTCCTAGAGCAGATCTTTTAGAAAAACACCCAGTCTTGATTTTAAAATGGCCAGTGTTGGAGAATCCCCCACGACACTTGGTAAATTGTTCCAATGGTTAATTACCCTCCCTGTTAAAAATTCCCCGTGGAAAGGAGAGACTAGTGGTTTCAAGAGTGCAAGACATCTCCTTCAGCTGGTTGGGATGCGTCCATATAACTTCCATTTGTGGTTAATTTTTTGACAGTGGGGCCTCATGCAATGAGACGAATGGCAACATTTTCAAAAGCATCTAAGACCCATTTTCAAAAGAGACTTAGCCCTATGCCCTTTCAGGTATTTTGGTGCCTAAGTCCAATCCTTAACTCTATGGCGTGCCTAGTGAAAGCAGTGGCCCTCTTACAAAACCAGTCTAGCTGCTACACTAGTTCTGCACATCGCTACGGTAGTGAATATACTTCATAAATGGCTTCCAGATGTTCTCAAATAATCATCTCTCTCCTGCAGTCTGTGTTGTGCTTTCATATACTGCCATGTGGGTCAGAGCATCTCTCCAGTCCTCCAGCCTTTAAAAGGTGACCTGGGTTGCTGCTGATCATGAGCTCAATCTCTTTCTCAGTTTGTCATGTGAACGACTGACCCTTGCATTTTAAAAGGGATATTTGGTTGCCAGCAATGTGCTCAGCCTGTAGCTCTGACGGCATCACGGCAATCTGTACCCATCTCTCTCTATGCAACTGTGCTTGGATTTTGGGCCAGAACTTCAGCTAGTGTAAAAGGGTGTAGCTAGGGAGCGGAGGATCTGACCCATTATACACAATCCTTGGCATCTCAATAAACCGCAGTTACTAAGGTGTGCAGTTTTTCTTCTGGGAGCCTCATAGCTTGGGTCATTTCAAACCAGGCTGCACAAAGCCCTGTAGAACATTCTATAGGGAACAAACGACACTGACCTCTATGGGATGGACTAGAGCAGTGCTTCTCAAGCTATCGGATGTGGGGGACTGACAATTCTTTTTCCCCTGTTGTGCGCGCAGACTGGCAGCCGATGGCTCGTGGACCGGCACCACTCCACAGACCACCACTTTGAGTAGCACTGGACTAGAGGACCAGGGAGATCCAAATTTTTCCAAGGGTTCTATATTAGCAGGGACAATTTCCCGGCCAACAGAGCAATGCTGCTGCTGTGTGATCATCTTCTCGGTCAATATATTTGAGGGTGTGTGGAGGAG